AGGCTTTTTCCTGAGGCTCTTTGTCTTCACCAGGGGCACCACCAGCAACAGCCTTTGGCTTCAGCGACGGGTGACATTCCCCACTTTTAGACTTTATCGCCGCATCTCTGGTGACACTGGACAGACCCTTCCCACTGGCATAATGACAAGCAACATCATACCGCACTGCAGCACAGCTATCGCTGCCAGCTTCCGCCTTCCCTGGGGACCTTTCAGCACTGGTTCACGATAGGCCAATATCGCCCAGGTGACTGAGTTTTTAAACAGTTAAACACCCTAGGGAAAATACACCTTCCCGTATGTGAACATGCTCAGCAAACGTCCTTTTATGTGTAAGTCCTTCGAGCACGTCTCTCTATTTTTTCCTCTTAGGGTCGCTATCGCTATTATAGTGACCTCATTCTTGCCATCGTCCCTCCTAAGTAAAGGCCAGTGTTGGGGCCTCGATGCTGGTTGTGGTCACATCCTAACAGCAGCTACTTAAAAACTTAGAAAAAAGAGCTTGCTGGACAAGTAACAACTCTAAAACCTGAGTGCAGGGGCTCACCCTGTCTAGTGACCACCGGGCACCGCCAGCACATTTTAGGTGCCCGCTAATGAAGCCATCCCACAAGGTTCTGAAGGCAAGCTTGGAAGACTCATCCGTCCGTGCGAGACGCGTGTGGGAGGCCGCCTCCCTGCGGCAGACCGGCCACCTCAACTTCAACTCGCCCGGGAGCGCTGTTCCATGGAGTGCAGCTCTGCAGAACGCCCTTTCACCTCTCGAAAGACTTAGCAGCAGCGTCCCTTTGCCAAATGACAGGCGGACAGACCCCTCTGGGCGAGTTTCAAAGAGGTGACACTTCCGTGCAGCGAGTCCTTCAAAAGACAACAATATAATTTAAGAAGGAGCTGGGGTCCAGGGATAGGTGTTTGCCAGTCACCAATCATGAATGTGTCTCGCACCGGAGCGCCGGCCTGTTCCTCAAAACGCTCCATCCGCCTTATTCCAAATAACACCCTTGCCTTTCTAGAAGAACACTGCGTCTTCTGTGCGGGCGAATCTCAAACCCTCCCAACTTTCCTGGCCTATCCCGGGACCCTCTGGCCAATGCAAAGGCATGATGCAGTTTTCTGAAGAATATAAGGAAAGATGAGCACTATCCCTTTTCGCTCTTTAGCTCCATGTCAAACCCCACGCCCTTCCTCTCCCCTGCATACAGGGTACCCTCACTCCGGGGAGGAGAGGAGGAGCTTGCTCTGGGGCCCCGCAGGTAGGTGGGAGAGATGACTAGGAATTGCAGAGCTGCTCTTTCGCACTGTTTCTTGGGGCAGCAGGGTGCTAATATCTACTTCCAGCCTGCTGCAAGATCAGGCTGCTGCCTGCGAGAAGCCCCTCACTGGCAATCAGGGCGACATGCAAGTGAGCACTGTCCGGGCGGGAGAACCCGGTTTCCTCAGTAACTACGCAATGAGTTTGCAAGCCACAGATGCGATGCAGGGCACTGTCGTCACCGGGCAAGAGAGGGGTTCACAACAGTCCCCGCGGCCCTGCTGCTGGGAAGGGCCCTTCACACCCAAGGGCCGCGAGGGCCCTGCAAGTTACATGGCGACGCTGCTTACCTTGTGCTTTCCAGAAACTCAAACACCACTATTCTGGGTTTGTAACGTGACCGTCTTCCCTAACTGGCGCTCACAACCCATTTAGATGAGCCTCGTCTGGCTAACTTCTACCCACTTTTGGGACTCACTTAAGCACCCACCTCCTATAAAATCAGCGTGCTCCGGGGAGCTGTGCTTGCCGCTCTACCTCGGTATTTTACTCTGAGAAAACAGAGGTTATTTATGTTTCGCTCTTGTTACTACTGTCTTTATTATTTATCATTATTATCCTGGCATAGTACTATCCTGCGTGAGGGCCTAGCACAAGACTTCCTAACCCATAGTTTTCTCTCTAAAGTCAGTTTATTCTATTAATATTCAGTTAAGAAAATCAGAAGTGGAAACACTTTCAACAGTCAGCATGGCAGCGATCGCCGGCACTGCTTACACAGTTAACAGGCTAAGCTGGACGTGCATCGGCTGAGTCTACCTGACGTCCTCGGGTCCAGAGTCTTGAACGTCAAATGCAACCTAACGCCCATCCTCAAAACACCTCCATTCTCCTTGGAGAGACCAGCAGACATCGCGATGGTTACAGTGAAACTCCACAAAGTCTGTGCTCAACTTATGCACAAGGTGCTAGAAAAATTCTCAGAAGCGACACCCTCAGTTGTACTAATGAAGGTTGACACCAAATAAGCAGAGAAAAGTAGTCTCCTGAAATGATGCTGGGCGAGCCACTGAGTCACAGGGGGGTCAGGGAACCAGTCTGTCAAGTGAAAGCCTAAAGAAGGTGCCACAGGACAGAGCTACTTGGGGCGCTGCTTCCCGAGCAGTCCAAGATGGAGATTGTATCTGGGCGCCGACTCAGGCTGGAGACTAATCCCCCTGGAAGCTGACGAGGCAAACACAGGGGCCGGTCCTGGCTGCTGCACAGCCCTGACCCTAGCACGTGATTCCTCTCCGATGGGGTGGGCTGACTAGCTGAGATGGCGGTAGGACTCTCTGGTCCTCTGAGCTCTAAGGGATCTACAGGCTCGTTCTTCCATCAAGACACTGCAGCGGGCCACCTCCAGGCGTAAGTCGCAGAGTACGGCTTCAAAACGGCATGTGTCAAGGAAGACAGACACACAGCACAGTGGAAAGAGGGTCGTGCACAGAAACTGGTGCAGGGACAGACTTTTTCCAAGGTGTTATGGTTTGAAAAAAATAACTGCAGTTAGCAGGCGGTCGACGGACAAAGCAAAGCATCACCCCAAGCGCGTCAAGGGTGAGTGGCGGGTCAGGGGTGTGGGTGTGAGCTGGGGTCACAGGGGGCAGGAGCGATGGAGGGAAGTCAGGACTGACCTCACACCCAGGCCCCCTCCTCTTGGCCCTGGGGAAGGGAACTAGGAACTATTCCCGCTCGCATGGCCTTGAGAAGCAGTCCTCGTAGGTGATATCCTCATTTTTATAATCCTTAAACCAAGTTTGGTTCAAGAAACCTGGAACATATTCATGTAGCAGGCTGTCATAGCATTTACGCTGAACCTCAGCTAGAAAAGAGCCTTTTTTGTCTACTGTAGACAATGTAGGTTATTAGGATGACCTGGATTTTAAAGCAAGCAGGAGTGAATATTCTCTCATTTTCTGTGCTATTAAGCAATAAATTGCTTTTGTTGACATTGCTTGTGCATCCATTCAAATAAACAGGGCCATTTATGCAAATATAACTATTTTACAAGAATCTCATCATCTGAGAAAATCATGTTACAGTCCTCTCTGAAAGCTCAACAGGAAACTGAACCCTGCGTCTTCAAATCTGCCAGGAGTCACCAGGTTCTTGTTGACAGGAGAGAGAGACTGCGAGGGGGACCGAGCATGTGACCCCGGGGCGGGGGTGAGCAGGGGGCCCTTTCCTCCTGCATCACTGTCAAGGACACCCTGTGCTGGGTGACCAGGAAGAGAGGAGCCCGGGGCACAGTGGACCCCTTGGAGGGTGACGGGGACTTCGGTGACAGAGGTGGTTGAGAACAGTGGAAGAAGCATGAGTTTACCTCGCTAAAACACGTTCGTGCTATAAATCAACTGTAGAATCAATGCATACAATTTAATTAATAGAAACACAGCAGCAAGGGGGACAGTGGTGCTTGCGCTGACCTGAGGACCTCCTGGAGCCTGGGACGAGCAGAAAGCGGCGGTTACTCTAGCGTGCATTACGTGCAGCAGGCCAAGATGGCGCAGCACAAGCCCCAGTCACCAGAACACGGGTGCTGCAGTGTGTGTGTGTGTGTTTGGGTCTGAGTGTGTGTCGTGCGGTCGTGTGTGTGGTCATGCGTGGCCTGTCAAGGGAAGGGTTCACAGTGGGCTAGCCAAAGTCATTCCAAAGGAGCAGTCTCAGAATGACTCAGGTTGCCAGCCACCTTTGAAGTTAGACCTGGTGCTCAGACAGTGAATTAAAATCAGCAACTTATAAGCAACCGTGGCCCCCGACTTTCAGTGGCCTGGTGCAAGCCACCGTCTATGCACTGAAGCATGTATATCGAGTGTCCACCCCTCAAAGCCACACCGTCAGCGTGGGGGCGGTTTCCGCGGGAACGCTCCTGGGCTCCCACGTCACGCCTGAGCACAATCGGGGCCAGTAACATACTCTGGGCAGTCACGGCTGGGGACAGATGAGGGTCTTGCTCCAGGAGTCTGAGGGCCTGCCTCGGCGTCACGAGCTTTGCAGTCTGTGCTGATTTTATCTCGTCATTCTAGATAGAAACCTGAATATTTATCGCAGCATTCCTATCTTTGAAGACTTTGTCTCATTTTTCCAAAATGAAAATGGAAGCCAGCTGCCAAGCATCTAAACCCTTTACTTTCGGTTAAATAAACAAGCAAAAGAATCTTCTCTTCACTCCACTGAATAGAATTGTCACTCTCAGAATAATCAAACGTTTCCAAGACTATTTTTCTAAATCGACCCTATCGCCTGGATCATTTACTTAGTTTCGGCCGAGGTGCGGAAGCCCCCTCCCTGGCAAGCACTGACGGGACGGGGGTCTCGTCATCCTAAACGACTGTCCCCAGTGTGGAGAAGAGCAGAGGGGAGGAGCTGTGTGGGGAGGCACAGCCCCGCCCTCGCTCGGACTCCCACGCACAGACTGACCTCCACACTACCATCCCCAATGCAGAAGGAAGAGAAGGATTCGGGCACGTTTTTCCTTGTCTTCTCCGCTGCTATTTAGGGGCCTGGAGTTTCACACTTTGAAACGTTCTCTTTCAGAATCAACAAGTGGCACAGAGGAAGACGTCACAGGTTTGCCCCGCAGGCAGCGGGGTGCGTGGGCGGCAGACGGGTGAGCTGTAGGGTTTGTTTCAGAAGAGCCAGAAGGAACCACCCAAGTCAGAGACAGACGGGGAGGGTCACCTTGATCATGGCAATCTCTTCCTACCTGCCTCTTTGGAAATCTGAGTGAAGGATTCCACACCTTTCTCTCCGTAACTTCCTTCGGAGGCGAGCGTGGACACGTAGTTCCAGCCCAGCGCCTTCACAATGTCTACCATGGCCTGGGCTTGGAAGGAGTCGGGAGGAACCACGCGCGAGAAGAAGTCGTAGCGCCGGTCGTCACTCAGCTCGGGGGCCGTCGACGCGTAGCTGATCTGAGGGATCTGGAAGACAAGAGACACCGTGTGGGCCACACCGTGGGGGGCGGGGGGCTACGAGCAGGCGCGGAAACACCCCGCCATTGCTGGAGAGCAGGCTCGGGCCCGGCCGGGACGCCTGGTCGCCCAACAGCGGCGTGGGCCTGCGGGCCACAGAGGGAGCAGGAGCTGCTCGGCGGCACGGGAGCACCGGCCACCCCTGCCCCGCCCAGGCCCAGCTTCACACGCAGAACCACAGTGTCGACCCCGCGGCCGGCCCCACGTCCTGGCCGCAGTCTCCACGGCCTGCATTCCCCCTTGGGTGCCGGGGAGAGCGGCCGGCCACGCCCGGAGGCGCATGGGCTCCGGTCCCCTTTCGGACATCACAGACGGTCCCCGCGTCACTCGCCGGCTTGTGGGGTGGGGACTGGCATGAGGGGCGCGTCCACCACGCCCACCGAGCGCCGGCTGGCGCCACCTCCCCTCAGCGTCACCTCAGCCCAGGCCACGGGGGCTGATTTGAGCTAAATCAAGTGACCAGGGAAAGGCCGGTGGGCTCGGCGCAGTCGGAGGGAGGAAGGCCAGGCCAAGACTCTGACAAGCACGGACTCTGTTGCGCTCCCGGCGAGGGTCACAGACCCCAGAGACGGAGCAGAGCCCAGGGAAGCCGCCCCGCTGGGGAGCAGGTGAGACTTACAGGGTAGGGAAGCTGCTTTGTCTACGGGCCCTGCAGGCGGATTCCCAGGGTGCAGGCGGATCTCAACTCCAGGAGGCTCCAGGGCAGGAGGCCCCAGCTCCCGGCCAGTAACAGCCCAGATCCAGGGCTCCCGCCCGCCTTGTCCGGCTGCCTCACCCTCACAGCCTGCACGGGAGGCCGCCCCGGGGAAGGTGTACCGCCGAGGGGACTGAGGCGCCCTGAGAGCTGCGTCCTCACGCACAAGACCAGCAGCCAGTGGGATGCTACGGGTCTGACCTGATAGCAAGGGCGATGGACTCCTGCAGATTTCTGCTCGCAGACACCTAAGCTGTTGCCCTCCCTCCAGGTATCACGGGAAGATTTCCTTTGCAGAGATCAAGCCCAGCTGCTCAATACTTTGACACAACTGCACCCAAGTTGATTCTCTGGACCTATCTCTTGACGGGAACCTGCCCCCCCGCCCTGCAGTTCCCCTAAGCCGACCCTGCGCCACCTGCTTCCCATCAGCCTCTCTGCCCAGCCTCCGGTCAAGCCTGTTCGTGACTGCCCGGCCACGTCCTCCCACAGCCGTCCCGGACGCAGTTCCGCGCTGTGGCCACTGGGGGCAGGCTCTGTCCCCGACCCTGCCCAGACTCACTGTGAGAGTGAACGTCCCTGTGCTCAGTTTGTAGGTCAGGCGTCTTAGGAAATGTCAACTGTAGGATCTCCTTGGTGGTGCAAGGGGTTCAGTCTCAGCGATACTGAGTTCCATCCCCGGCCCGGGAGTGACCACAGGGCACAGCACACCTCTCCTGTCTCCCCGCTGCCCCCTCAGCAGTGTACTTCGGTCCATCCGCCTGTTGTGCTCCCCACTCTGTCTCTGGGGAGTCCTCTCAGCCCCCTCCCACACCTCTGGTCTACACCCAAGCGCTTGTATGCATAAACAAATAGAATAAATATTTTTTAAAATCAGCTGAATAAAGGCTTTCAACAGGAAAAAGGAGAGGGTAGGTACAGAGAAGGGAGAGTGGGGAGGTGGGGGCGGCGGGGAGAGAGCATTACCAGATATGAAAAGCAAAGAAGCCAGGAATACCAGTGCATTTCCATCAGTTCCAACTTGTGCAAGTATAAAAGCTTTGTTCTGCTACACAGATGCCTTCCCTGCCAAAATCCCTTTCTACCTTTGCCGAAGTCCAAATATAGATACGTCCAAGTCTACTTGAATGGATGTACCTGCTATCAGCTATCACAGCTGTGAAATGTGCTCAGTGCAAATGTTTTCTAAATCATGCCCCAAATTTCAGTAATGACAACAGCGGTAAAACATCTCTCTCCTCACTACCGGGACGCCTTTGAAAACGGTTGCTCTCTGAGGCCAATCCCGTCTATTATTAATGAGAAGTATCACGTGGCTTATGACACACACGTCTCATTAGGATCACATACCTATCCTAAGCCACTAAGTTACCACCCAGGGGACCCATACTGTGTAATGATGCTAAAAAAAAAAAAAAAAAAAAAAAGAACTGCCTGAAAGACCAAGAGAATTCCATTTCATGAGGTAAACATACAGTTGGAGAAGAACATTCTTCCCCAAAGAGCAGAAAGGCTGGAAGAAGTTATCTAACCTCTCAGCCAGGAAGCCGGTGTGTGTTGAAGCCATTACGCTTCATACCTGCTTGTTTCAAACAAACATGAAAGACTCCACAGTGGTTACTTTGAAGTGTGTCTTATGACTGGTATTATCAATACAAATGACCAAGCTATTATAAATGATCTTCAGTGATCAACGTCCACACTTTCCTTGCTATCTACATTATTTGTTCTCTTCCTGTTATTGAAATCCTTCCCCGCGGCCAGTCTGTCATAGGAATGCAGAACTGATCCTCTGTTAAAGAAAACTGTCCACAGTATCATGCCATCTCCAGATAAAACAGACACTCCGCCTCTTCGGCTTTCTTTCTCCAACTCAAAAATTCAAACGCTTTTCATCTCCACGTGAGGATTAAAATTGCGTATTGTTTATTGGGTTACTGTTTTACAAAAGATTTTTTGAGAAAGCATCAAGTAGGATTAAAAACATCTATAATCTACTATATTTGTTTAGCAAGAGTGTGCACTTTTAGAAAATTAACAATACATATTACTTGTGAAACGAAAATATACGAAAACAGTAACGATCGATGCTGTTCACATGTTGCTGGTCTCAGTAGACACAGGTGCTCACAAGCCTGCGACTGCGGACTGGACTAGAGGTCTCGCCTCTGTCCAGTCCCTCCCTGTCTCCTCCCCACTTCGCCTCTCCTGGCTCTTTCTGGTTGCATACTAGCCCACTAGGTGACCCCAACTTAGATGCACCCTTCGGTGTGACATAGTGAATTATTTTTCAAGTCTTCACTACCATCAGAAATAAAAATGCATTTAAAATCCTGAGCTAATTCAAGTCTGCGTTCTTTTCCTGGCACAATTTCTTTTTTTGTTTTTTAAGATGTGTTTATTCATACAGAATTGGGGTACAGGCCAGAGGTGAGGGGGGGGCGAGAGGATTCACCAGACACAGCGGGGGAGCAGAACAGACAGATCGACCAAGCACCCTGCTGAGGGAGCAGCGGCGAGACAGGAGAGGTCTGCGGCGCCATGTGGTCACCTCTGGGGCGGGGATTGAACTCGCACGAGGCAGCTTCGCAGCGCTGCATTTGTGCGCATTGCGCCTCTAGAGTAGCCCCCGGGGAATTGCTTAGGACTGCTCAAGCTCCTCCCTCTGCTAGTGACAGATGTCACAGGCACATTTCTTTCAGTTGTTATATAAATAGGACAACACTATTTTTTTCTCCCAAATGTCTCACTACCTGCTCCAGAACATCCCTTAAATAATTAGTCACTCGCTACTGATAAAAAAAGTCAGTTGTTTTGATCCATTCTTAAATACTTCTGTATCCTGGGTATATTCTTCCCTATTCCACGTCTCTGAGTCTTTCCAGTGGTCACTATTCTAATTCTTCCCAACTTACAGTGATGTGAGGCAGCATGAGCTGAAACATTCCTCTTCATAACCACGTTTTAAAAAATGACTAGGGGTGATCACACATGGTTAATTTCCTAGCTGAACTTTAGCATTTTTTTTTCAAATTCATAGTAAAACTCCATTAAATTTTTGATGAGAATTATATTGCATTTACAAATTAACTTTGGGAGAATGGATACATTGACAATAATTTGTATTTCCCTCTGGAAAAATATGTATTTTCATCTGTTCCATTAGTCACTCTTTTCTCGGAGTAACTTCTCTCCATACAAACCATGTGTATTGCTGGGTGGCTTTATTTCTAGATAGTTGTTGTTTTCACTGCATTATGAATGACATAAACTTTTCATTTTGCTTCTATTTAATGCTGGTATGTAGGAATTATTAGATTTTGTGTATTGTTACTTAAGTGCTTATTAAAGTTCTTATTAGTTCAATAGCATTCAACTTATTTTCCTGGGATTTCCAGGTAAGCAAATCATATTATAATAATTCATTTAGTTTTCTAACTACATTAGCTAGAATTTCTAGGACAATAAGAATGACAGTGGTGAAATAGCTCTCCTTTTCCTATTTCTGAACAGCCAGCATTTTAAATCAATTATTTATTCTAATTGCTTCTCTTAAGACATGTCCAATGAAAAATTAAGATTATTAGTTAAACTTGCGTTGAAAAGCATTGGACCATAAATGCCTTCAAATAGTTGAAATAGTTTCCCTCCATGAAGGATCCTCCATAGTGATGGCCAACAGGCCCATGAAAAATGCTTATCCTCATCTATCATCCCCAAACTGTGAGAAAAGCCCAAGTGGAAAACACCAGAAACAAGTGTTGATGAGGGTGTGGAGAAAAGGGAAACCTCACAGAAGGTTGGTGGAAACATAGACGTGTCCAACTGCAATGTAAAACATGATGGTGCAATTGTTAAAAAGATCCTATGACTCAGCAATCCCACTCCTCGGTACCCACCTAAAGAGTGCAATCGCTCCCCCTGCCCCCCAATTCCAAGGGGCATATGCACTGCTGTGTGTATCGCAGCACTGTTTACATAGTCAAGTGTGGGGGCATATTATGAATGGGCTGGAAAGAAGTATATATGCATCATGGAATAGTATGCAGCCATAAAAAGGCACGACCCTCTGCCACTTCTGAGAATGTGGATGGAAACAGAGGGGATTACACGAAATAAGATACAGAAAGCAAAAACTAATGCTGATGGTTTCACTCATACGTGGGCTGTGGAGGAACAAAAGCAAGGGTCAAGCCTAACCAAACTGTAGACATCTTATTGCAAATTTGCGGCTGAAGGGAGGGGTGAGGCGAGG